CCTATTATTTCTCTCTCTCCCTCATTCTCTCTTTCATCCACTTCCCTTCACCCGTTTCCCTCTCTCCTCCCTTCTCCCACCCCCTTTCCCTGTTATTTCTCTCTCTCTTTTTCACCACTTCCTTCAGTTTCCTCTCTCCCTCCCTTCCCCCACCCCTTTCCCTGTTATTTCTCTCTCCTCTTCATTCTTCTCTTCCTTCTCCTCATCCATTCCTTCACCCGTTTCCCTCTTCCTCCCCCCCACCCCTTTTCCTGTTATTTCTCTCTCCTCCTCATTCTATCCTTCCCTTCACCTTTCCACTCTCTCCCTCCCTTCCCCCACCCTTTTCCTGTTATTTCTCTTTCTCTCCCTCATTCTCTCTCTTTCATCCCTTCCTTCACCCGTTTCCCCTCTCTCCTCCCTTCCCCACCCTTTTCCTCTGTTATTTTCTCTCCCCTCATTCTCTCTTCCCTCCCTTCCACCCTTTTTCCCTGTTATTTCTCTCTCTCATTCTCTCTTCTTGGCCTCTCCTTCATCCACTTCCCTTCACCCGATTCCCTCTCTCCCTCCCTTCCCCCACCCCTTTTCCCTATTATCTCTTTCTCTCCCTCATTCTCTCTTCCTTGGCCTGTATTTCATCCACTTCCCTTCACCCGTTTCCCTCTCTCCCTCCCTTCCCCCACCCCTTTTCCCTGTTATTTCTCTCCCCCTCATTCTCTCTTCCTTGGCCTCTCTTTCATCCACTTCCCTTCACCCGTTTCCCCTCTCTCCCTCGCTCCCCCACCCCCTTTTCCCTGTTATTTCTCTCTCATCCTTGGCCTCTCTTTCATCCACTTCCCCTCTCTCCCCCTTCCCCTTCCCCCACCCCTTTTCCTATTATTTCTCTCTTCCTTGGCCTCTTCTTCACCCGTTTCCCTCTCTCCCTCCCCCTTTCCCCTCACCTTCCACTCTAACCAGGTCCTCTCCCTCATTTTCCAGCGCGTGGTGGTCGAGCGAGCGTGGCTGGCGGGGGGGCGGAGGGGGGTCGCCGTCGTGACAGGCGGTGGGTCGGGACACGAGCCCTTCGCTGCCGGTGGGTCCGTCTGATTAATAGGCTCTTTATCTCGTTCTCTCGTTGTTTGTTTCTTCTCTCTGCTTGTTCTCTCTTTGTTTATTTCTTTTCTCTTTTTGTTCTCTCGTTGTTTATTTCTTTTCTCTTCTCGTTCTCTCGTTGTTTATCTCTTTTCTCTTCTTGTTCTCTCGTTGTTTATTTCTTTTCTCTTCTTGTTCTCTCGTTGTTTATTTCTTTTCTCTTCTTCTTCTCTCGTTGTTTATTTCTTTTCTCTTCTTGTTCTCTCATTGTTTATTTCTTTTCTCTTCTTGTTCTCTCGTTGTTTATTTCTTTTCTCTTCTTGTTCTCTCGTTGTTTATTTCTTTTCTCTTCTTGTTCTCTCGTTGTTTATTTCTTTTCTCTTCTCGTTTATTTCTTTTCTCTTCTTGTTCTCTCGTTGTTTATTTCTTTTCTCTTCTTGTTTATTTCTTTTCTCTTCTCGTTCTCTCGTTGTTTATTTCTTTTCTCTTGTTTATTTCTTTTCTCTTCTCGTTCTCTCGTTGTTTATTTCTTTTCTCTTCTTGTTCTCTCGTTGTTTATTTCTTTTCTCTTCTTGTTCTCTTATTTTTTTGTTTTATTTATTTGTTTGCGTTTGGTTGTTTTTATTTTGTTCTCTCGTTGTTTATTTATTTTCCCTTCTCGTTCTCTCGTTGTTTATCTCTTTTCTCTTCTTGTTCTCTCGTTGTTTATTTCTTTTCTCTTCTCGTTCTCTCGTTGTTTATTTCTTCTCTCTTCTTGTTCTCTCGTTGTTTATTTCTTTTCTCTTCTTGTTCTCTCGTTGTTTATTTCTTTTCTCTTCTTGTTCTCTCGTTGTTTATTTCTTTTCTCTTCTTGTTCTCTCGTGTTTATTTCTCTTCTCGTTCTCTCGTTGTTTATTTCTTTTCTCTTCTTGTTCTCTTATTTTTTGTTTTATTTATTTGCTTGTGTTTGGTTGTTGTTTATGTATTTGCTTATTTTTTTGAAGATTGAGACGGAGATACGCTTAAGAGGTTCGTTAATAGTTAATGATAGATTATGATCATTACCAGCCTGTCAGTAATTAAATGACAGGACATAACCTGTCATAAAGTATTAGTAACATCTTATCTTGTCATAGAACATCGCCAGCTTGTCAATCATAAGCTACCGACAATCATCGTATATGTTCATGTACATACACACACGTATACATGTGTATGTATATGTATTCTAGGGCATAGGCCTATATGTGCTCCTGTATTTATTTCCTCAAGAATTTATTGTTTTGCTCTCTCTTGCTTCCTTCCCTCTTTCCCAACCCTTCCCCAACTTCTTCCTCTTCCCCAACAATTCCCAACATCCCTACCCCTCTTCCCAACCCTTCCGAACTTCTTTTTCCCTCCTCTTCCCCTCCCCCATCCCTACTCTCACTTCACCCCCATCTCCCCTACTTCACCCGAACCCTACCCCACT